AAAGGATGTCGATTTATAGGTAATTCCCTTTCAAAACAACATGGCTAATGACAACGTTTATTATGCTACCTATGCTATTAACTATTACAAGTATTACCAGTCGAAGGCTCCTCTCGCAAACAATGTAAACAGGATCATGCTGCCTTTAATGGATCGAATAGACTTAATCCCTATAATTATCAACACTTTGACTTAACTTATTTAGCTTTTTATTTAAACGGAATTCAATACCCAGAAAAAGCATTTACACCTGATTACGACAACGGTTTGTACATTAGGGAGTATTTAAGTTTATTCGAAGCGACTAATCAAGATAATATTGACAGTTGTATAACAATAAAGCGCGAAGATTTTCCAAAAGGAAACAACATATTTGCCGTCAACTTCACACCAGATTTAACCTCCGGTTGTTGTACAACTGGCTATGCAAATCCTGTCAAATTTGGTTCTCTTCGATTGCGTTTACGCTTTAAAAATCCCCTTCCTAAAACAATAACAGTATTAGTTTATCTAGAGTTTGACACGCTATTGGAAATTAACCAAGAAAGAAACCCTATCTATATATTCAACTAATGGATACTCTAATGATTCGCCGCCTATTAAAAAATTTTAAATGCTTTAAAGGGGTTTTTAGCTGCGACCAAATACCTATTTTTTCCTCATTTCCTATTAATATTATCGTTAATACTGACCCTTCGTATATGCCTGGTGAACATTGGGTGGCAATTACGATAAATAAAAATGGCTATGGAGAGTATTTCGATTCGTTTGGTCTCCCGCCTTTAAAAGAAGAAATATTTAATTATCTCAAAGATAATTGTCAGAATGGATGGACATACAACAAAATAACAATTCAACATATCACTTCTGACACTTGTGGCCATTATTGTGTTTTATATATCATACATCGATGTCAAGGTGTGTCTACGCAAGCGTATATCTCGAAATTCAGTAATAACTACTCAGAAAACGATAAACGTATGAGAGCTGTGTTTAAGAATTTTTCAGTTGCAAAACAGTTTTAGAGTTGTACGGTTCACTATGGCTTTGGATGAACAAATTTGTGCTGTATTTGACGTCCAAGGATTTTGCGTGGAAGGTACGTTTTATGTGCGTGAATTTGCTATAGCTAATAGTGATGTGCGAATTTGCTACGAAATTGATGCGTGTATTGAGTCCGACGTAAAATTACGAAGTTTTAGGCATTTTGTTAACCAAACGAAGAAAATTCACGGAATTCCGATCGGAAAAATATTTGACGATAAAGTTCAACGGACAATAAAAGGTAAATATTTTTCAGGCTTTGTAAAGAACTGTTACGAAAAAGTTGTAACTGACGATAAAACTTTTGTTGCTGTTAAAAACCAACAATTGGCTCAGATACTAGATGGTTTAGATTTGCCATATATTAATCTAGAGAAGCATGGTTAAAAGTTGCTTTAAACAGGTTGTGAAGTTATAAAACTATTTATAACGCCTAGTTGTTATCATTATTGTCTACTTCACAATGTACTCAACAACGGTCAAGGTACTGATCGAGCTCGTTGCTCTTTACGGAAAGCTGTAAATATCTGGAATTGGATTGATAACAAAGTCAAAACACATGAATTTCTTGATTCTGTACATCCAGATGAGCAACAAGAGTTGCCGAACGTTTTCAAGAAGACTATAATTTTTAACACAGACGACAAAAGCTCAACAATTAAATCCATCAATAATATCCGACGATTTTTAATTAAGCTCAAAAAATGTAAAGGTAGTCAAGAGCCCTATCTGTTTAGAGAGTTCGATGATTGGTTTTTGGAAAATATGTCGTTACGCCCCCAACCTGTACCGGACTATAGCAAGGAAGACACTTGCCAGCAAATCACTATTGGCGATCTCATTAAGTACGGTATTCCCGTACGCGTTCTTAAAACAAAAGATGCGTGAAAGGATGATAAAAAGTAGTCAAAAGAAGAATAAGAACAACACTAGTCAGCGTTTTAAAATTTGAGAAAGTTGTGTTACAGTAACGTTATGTCAAAATCTTCACTTTTTGTTGATGTGTTCAGTGACACTTTGTCAGAATCCACCAAATTTGGTGCTAAGAAAATGCTTACTGTTAAACATCACGTCGATAAACCTGACTTTTTACTTGTCGACATTCGTGGAACCTACAATGGTAAGCCTCAAAAGTCTGGAATTTGTTTAACACCTTATGAGTATGATTGGCTGGCTAAGCATATTCTCTACATGAAGGCAAGAACCAACTCAAACCAGGACAACGAATTGAAGTCTCAGAAAAGCGCAAGAATATTGCAAGTCCGTCCTGTAAGTAGTGGTCGTACTGGTGGCTTAGTTATCACTCAGATTGTTAACGATGAGGTTCGTAAAATTACTCTTTACAAGAAGGAGCTTATTGCCCTTCGTAATAATTATGGCACGTTTTATTCATTGGTGGAAAAAATGGCCGAAATCGAAGCCGAGGAGGATTGCGAAGACTCGGACGACGAGTACACAGTTGTAGTGGAATCGGTTAAGCCTTTGGAGGATCTCAAGCCAGCAGACATTGGTTTGGAAATTGCATCATCCATTGCAATTTCAAGCACTGCTAATTAAATTATTATTTTTTAAAATTACATTTTTTAATTATTTTACTTTTTAATTATATTTAATCATTTTTAATTATTTAACCATTTATTTACTGTATTCTTTTTATTACTATATTTAATAAACATTTTTTTTAAAAATAATCTACGTATTGAATTATTTTTTATTGCGTTTAACATATGCTTATACAAATACACTATCGTCACTACAACGTATTGTAAAGATATGCCGCGAGCTACTCTTTAGGCTATCTATAGATTGGCCTTGAATTCATACATACGTTCCTAGTGAACCGGTTCTGAAGGCGGGGTCTAAACGGTTATCCTCCAATGAGAAGCATTCGTGCTTATACCGTTGTACCTCTACTACTTTAGGCTATCTATAGATTGGCCTTGAATTCATACATACGTTCCTAGTGAACCGGTTCTGAAGGCGGGGTCTAAACGGTTATCCTCCAATGAGAAGCATTCGTGCTTATACCGTTGTACCTCTACTTTTAATATTGCAAACGTGCGTCTAGTTCCTTTTATATCATTTTTACATCTAGCAAAACATGCTTAATAATTGTTTATTTGGTTAGTAATGATTCATTACTAATGAAGGGGTAAAATATCTGTCAATTGATTTATTAATACTTAGCCAACAAATAATTAGCTAAACATTTTCATAATTACGTTAATGTAATACGTGTTTAAAGTGTTATTACGCCAGTATGATGGTGCATTTGTATTGTTGTAATAATTTATTCATTAAACTGAGATATTCGGGATTTTCTATTTTTTTAATCCTGGTTAAGATCCTATTATTCAATGTCGGAATAACGTAGATGACTTTCACATGATCATTTAGCAAATTGTTTTAAATTGAATTTTGAAATCATTATTGTAATGATTATGCAGTATTTTTTTTAATTTATTAAACGATCATTTGCAATGATCAGGGCTTATTAATTATTAAATAGCAATTTGCTAATAACTTTCCTTAGATAATCCGATTTACTAACGACAGTATTGCACACTTTATATTTGTATACATTATTATTATAAGTCTAATTAATTAATCAAGTAAAATAATTAAATAAAAAACACACTTTCAAAACGTATTTATAAAAATTAAACGAACTTGCTTATACGAATTTATTGTACCCGAACATGTATAATGTAAAACTCATACCAGAAAAATAACTAAATTACAACTGGTGGAAGCTTATGATAGAGGGCAATTTATTTCCATTTGTATAACATAGCCTAATATTTTATACTAATTCAATATACACAAAATAAATTAGTTAACCATCATAATAACAATTTAATTTAGACAGTACATGCATTTATTTTTATTATTATTTATGTTCATTTTTTAAACATATTGAATTCGATAATACATTTATATTTATGGTAATAATTGAATTTGTAAGAGAGTTAAAATTATTCTTAATTCAAGAATCTTGATTTATAAAATCTTTATATCTATATTAATAATTAAATTGTTAATTACAATTATATTATAATTATGAGTGGGCTCAAAACATATAACTCTATGTAAACTTACATAGTAAACGCTGCTCTAAACCTTACATTATCAATAGATAATTATATCACAATAAGTTATGTTAATAACACTATTGGAAATACTAAACCTTATTTTGTTTTTATTTTCAAAAAATTTTGTAAACCATTTTGCATAATTAATAGTTTACGTACTGTAGTAAAGTTTACAAGTTTAAAAGTACACTAAATATTACGTAAACGCAAATATTTTAATATCATTGTGTTGCTTTAATTAACAATAATACTGTGACTTGGTAGAATCAATGCTATTACAACTTATTTGTAACTGCTAAAATATTATAAACTACTATTAACTATTAATAATATTAATTACATATTATTATCAATATATTATTATCGTGATTAATAAAACCATAAGTAATAAAATGTTGAAAAATTTTATTTTAAAAGGCTTTTAATATAAAACTAAAATAAACATAATAATTTAATACATAAAACACACATGCTTACTTAAAAGTTATTTGCTTGAAATTTTTATTCTGGAAAGTTCCATAAACTTTTAATGTTTCTACTATTAAAATTATGTATTATTACATGACTTTCAAATAAAACTTAAAATAAATTCTTTATTTATTTAATATCATTTATAAAACATGTATAACAACTGCAGACACATGAATCTAATCTAATGTTAAAACTTAACATAAATAATAATAATATCAAAACATTATAATTAATAACATAAACAAGTTGCTCCCTAAACAACCTATAAAACAATCAAATTTAATTGCTAAATACTATAGTCTACTTTTACAATAAAATTTCTTAAGCTTCAACTTTAATTACTTGTATACCAGCAAACTTTGGCATATGCCAATTATTAGCCAATAATTACTACTACTCGATACTCTCGAGGGTAACCCACGCCTCAACGGGTGAATTAAACCGCACATATTTGTTGACAGGAAGGGGCACTCGGGTGCGGCCACCTGTAACCAGTCTGAACCGGGTCACAATGCGAACCAGGGCAATCTTGATAGCCATTTCAGCAAAACGTTGGCCAACACAAGCCCGGGGTCCGTGACCAAAGGGCATAAACCCGTATTCGGGCAATTGAGCTCGATTCTCGGGCAAAAACCTATCTGGCCAAAAGCGATCGGCCCGCGGGTACAGGTCTGGGCACCGGTGCATGGCGTACATCGGGAACTCGACGGCCAGCCCTTTCTCGACAGTGATGTCAGTGCCGGGCAGGCGGTAGTCCTCGCTGGGCACTCGGGAGGGGCGCAAACCGTGCGCGTGTAGGCGCAGGGTTTCGCTCAACACCGCGTCTAAATAGGGTAACTTTACTAAACGATCATAATCGTGTTCGCGCCCCTCATCGGCCTCCCCTTCCCCTCCTACTTTCCCGGTGTCGGCCAACTGTTCCCGGGCTGACAGTGTGACCAACTCGTCCCGGAGCCGACTCTGCACGTCCTGATTGAGGGCCAACTCGTGTGCGGCGAACGTCAGTGCAGTGGAGTTGCCGTCGAAACCGCCGTTTAGTGTCGCAAACAATTGCGACATGAGTTCGGTCGGGTTCAGTATGTCGTCCCGTTTGCCCCGTTTAACGAGCTCTTGACCGATACGGTGGAAAAACTCGACCGCCTCCCGGTTCGTCTCCGAGTCAATGCCCACCACTTTTAGCGCCCAGGGAGGCGCCAGTAGGGTCACTAGCGTTTTCCACCATGGTGGCGTGAATATGAGTCGGGCGTTGGTCAGGAACGGGTCCCGTGGGTTCTGGTAGGCGTTGGTATCCGTACCAAACAGACAGTTGGCCACCACATCGATGGCATAGCAGCCAAACCAGTGTTTTAGGTCCAACTCGACCGCTCCGGTGTCCGTTTGGGCGGCCAATGCGGTCATTAGTCGGTCGGCCGACTCGTCCACCAGTGTATAGGCCCGTCTCAGTTGACCGGAAGTGGTGGGCGCGGCTGTGGTGCGCATGCGCTTCCACTCGTCGCTACGAAGGCCGACAATGACGTCGACGATCGGGTGTTTGGCGTTAGAGATCTCGCGTCGCGTCTGAAATATGTTAAAGTCTTTGACCAGAATTTGTTTAATGAGTTCCGGTTCGCCCACTTTCAGTATGGGTCGGCTGCCCTCGAACACCCTGGTCATATTGGTTAAATTGGTTAAATATCATGTATTAATATCATGTAGAAAGAATTAAGCATTTAGGATAATTTTTGGATAAGTTGAATAAGGTAAAGTCAAACTTTACTCAAGTAGCTCTACCCGTAAACCCACCCTGACATTTATAAGTGAGTTTTATATATTTTATCATATTGAAATAGATTGTTTTTATTTATGCAAGTTATAATATTACTAATATTGTTTTAGTTAATGAATTTATTTTATAAATTTTACAAAACTAGTAACTACCCATATATTTTGCCATATTTCTGAAAGCGCCTCTCTTCCAGATCGGCCATCGGCTCAAACAGCAGCTCCCATAGGTTGCCCACACCCACCAGTGGTCTGGGTCCTTTAATGCCACGCTTGGTAAAATAGTCAAAGTTTCGCGTAAAATGTCTAATAATAGAAATTTCAAAAATAATTGAATAGCTAAATAATTAATTAAATTAGTTAAAATTAATAATTTTTACCGATAGGCAAATATCAGTCCCAATACTAGACCGCTAAGCAATAGCCAAAACATTATGCCTACTTTATTTATAACACTCAATACTTCACACTATAGAAAAATTTATAAATTTTTAAAAAGTTAATAGCGATGCTATTTTATGTATTAATCAAATAAAATTAAATCATATTTTATTTTAAAAATCATGCATTTACCAATTGGTGCAGCCTTTACATAAACTGTGCAAATAAAATAAATTTTTGTCACAATTGCTTTATTATAACAAAATATTTTTTAATTTTATGAAATATTGTTATATGGTAAAATCAATAATAATTTTTACCAAACTATTCTTTTAAAAACTTTGAAAAATGCAATTCATTATTTTCACTTTTTTATTAACAATAATACTCGTACATACTTTAACTTGTAAGCAGATTATGAAGGTTGACAATGAAAAGTATAAAATTAAATATAATTTTACTCTTGGAGCTATTAACTTTTAAACCGTTATTGTAAAATGCAATTATATTAGGTTTTTATCATATTTTATTTACTTTATAATTTAATTATTTACTTAAAATGTTACTTGTTCATTTGTCATACAAAATTTAATCTAATTTGTATTTATAATTTATAATGAAAAATATCTAAATTCATTGTAGGCCAGACATATCGCTGGCAGGCGCAATTTTTGTATACGAATATTAATAGAATTATTAATTTATTTTGAATATGCATTTCATATTTGCTATATTATTGTTTTGAATAAAAAGGCTTGTTAATTAGCTCATGTGATATTTAAAAATTTCTGTTACTTACATTAGTTACTAAAATGCTGATCATTATGTACTTAATTGTTAGATAGTGTATTATATTTAATTGTTTTATTACAAAAAATACTTAACAAATAGTAAATTAAATTAGAGATTGGTATAATTTGCATTTATTTATTATAACTGAAATAATAGTTATAACTGGAATCTAAAATTTAAAAATCTTAACTTTAAATAAAATCATAATTTTAATAAATATTTAAGTATAAATATTTAATAAAATCAAAGTAATATTATTTTAGTTTTATTTTATAATAAGCAAATAAAAATATACTACTATACCAATCTAAACAATTATCTAAACTAGAATACAATTGTAATGCAACAACATCAAAAAAATATTGATCACTTTTGATTTTAATTTTTTTTTTATTTCTTTTTAAATTATAGTTTATTTATTTAGTACATTAAAATCATTTCATTTAATTGACAAATACAATTTTACAAAAAAAAAAATAATGTAAAAATTCATATCAAATATTAACAATAGTACAATACATGAACTAGTAAGTTACCACCTGTATATTAAATTATCATTTATATTATATTAAATCAAACCATCTTAAAAAATTATTAGTAATTTCACAATTAATTAAACCAAGGAAATATATTTTGAGTCAACATGTTCAAAAATCTACTACAATAACTTCCATAACAAGAATAAAATTACAAAGTTTTACGAAAAAATGATTTGCGGAAATACTGTCGTCTCGTTTTAATACCAAATCGTTTTGCATTTTTTGCCGTTAATACACTTTCTTTAGGCACAGGTTGGGACGGGTCGGGTGTCTGTTGCGGTACTACTGAAACTATTGGTGGCAACACTACTGTATCGGCCGGTGCTTTACAACAATAGCATTCAAACTTGTCTGTGCCCTCAATCGCGTGATCAGTATTGTCTGCCTTTATGTCCGACACCTCTTCATTGGTGACCACCGGTCCAACCGCTCCGACAGCCTCTGTGTTGACATCGATAGCCCTTTCCTCGTAGTGTTGATATGTACCGCTCGTTCCCTCACTATCAGCACCGGAAGTGTCTGTCGTGTGGTTTAATTCATCCATAAACTCGTCAAACGTGGCAAATGTAACAATTTGTTTGTTGTGCTTTAAAAGTGAACATGGTTACTAAATTTCTATATGATTTCATTATAATTTATAGATTATAAATTTTAACATCTACAAAGTCTCTCTCTCTCTTACACATTAATTTGAAAGTAGAAACTGTAATAAAATAATTAGTCTAAAATTGTGAACATAAATAGAAAATAGTAAAAAGCATTTGTATAGATTTAAGACTAGGTTTAAATTATAAGAGTGTGTAAAATGTATTTCAATACAAAAGGGTTATCAATGAGAGTGTGTATCAAATATGAGCTCAAAGAGTGTGTATAAAAAGGACTAAACATAAATAGTACCATGGTACAAAAACAGCGCTGTAAAATGGTTAACCAAAATATGATCATAAAGTGTATGATAGCCCAAAAGTCCTTTTGTATTTTACGACTTTATATTATTATTATTTATTTTAAAATAAATATTAGAGTTTAATAAAAATGCTAATAAAATTGCATTTAATACTTTATTTTATAAGTCTCTCTCTCTCTCTCTCTC